TGTCCTTAAGATTATTTTGATCAAGAATTTTGACCGAAATAGTTTTGACGGACAATTCAAAATGTTTTACTTAATTTGTGGAGCTAAAACATTAATTTTGGATAAAAATTTTAATCGAAATAATTTTGGTAAAAAATTCAAGAAATTTCACTTAATTCTTAGAGCCAAAACAATATACTTTCGATCAAGCATCTTGTCCAAAATAGTTTTCATAGAAAATTTAAAAAAAATTACGAAAGAAAGTGCCATACTAATATAATTACAAAAAAAAAAAAGGAGACGATTATTTTGGTCAAGATGCTTGACCAAAATAGTTTCATAGAAAAAAAAAATATGAAAGAAAGCACTATACTCATACAAATGAAAAAAGAAAAAAGAGGAGAGTTATTTTGGTTAAGATGCTTGACCGAAATAGTTTTATAGAAAATTTAAAAAAAAAATTAGAAAAGAAAGCGTCATACTAATACAATTTTTTTTTTTAAAGGAGACAATTATTTCAGTCAAAAATTTTGGCCGAAAAACATAATAATTTTTTTTTTAAATTACTTAATTAATTCAATCCAATTTATGATCAAAATGCTTATTATTTTATTATTAATATAATTTGGATAAAATATTTGATCAAATTAATGATGGCACCAATTGGAGCTATTTTATTTTGGTCAATATTTTTGACGGAAATAACTTTAGACCAAATTATTATGTTAAATATCCTTTAATTGAATTAAAGTATATTTTGGTCAAAATGCTTAACCGAATTAAATTTTTTCGGTCAAAATATCTTCTTGCCTGAAATATTTTGTCCAAAATAAAGTTTTTTTTAGTAGTGTTAGAAAAAAGTTCACATCACAATTTGTAATTTTTGAAATGACGTCACGTGTTCACATAAACATCAAGTAATCATAATTTTTTTAAGATTAATTGAAAAATTTTGGGTTGTGGTCCAATAGATTGGTGCTTATTCTGGAAATATTTTTGATATTGTCATTTGTTGATATAGATAATTTTTGTTGAATTGGAGTTTTTGACGTTTTTATTAATTAAGTTAGTAGAGTCCAACTTTCCTTATTTGAGAATAAACTTAAGATTGGAGCATTTTTTGACTTGGAGCAAAATAACAACTTAGGCAAGAGAAAGTGTAGGCAAGGGAAAGTGTAGCCCAATTGCTCTTTGGGTCTTTCAAATAAGTTGGAGACTCGCGGATCGAAGGTTATTTTATTTGAGTTGAACTTTACTTCTCTTTCTTCAGTGCAGATGGGTTGCAAACTTGGAGATCAAATCAAGATGAGATTTGGCTAGGTTAGTTGAGAAAAATAAGGGCAACTTTTAGATGTTTCTTACAAATAAGATTCTAGTAATTTTTAAATGCTGAATTTCTATTTTTAGCTACTTGTAGATTAAATAATGAAGATGATTTTGGAGCTGTTGGGATCTTGTTTCACTGTAGAAGATGGGGAGAATTAAGATCAAATTTTTGTTGAACTGGTTCAATCATGAAGGCTTTTAAATACAAGTTTTCAACAAGTTTTCTAGTTTCATCAATCTGCTCCTCTTAACAGCATCAACAATTGCACACTGGAGCACTTTTGCCCGAAGCAGTTGAGAGGAGAATTTCGGGGAATAATCTCTCTTTTCCACACCTTACTTCACCTTAAGATTTTTGTTGCATTCTTTAGTTTGATGTTCTTCTGTTACCTTAGTTTGTATTATCCTTTATTTCTGTCATGCACTCCTTCTCTCTTTTTCTTATTTTTGTCCTTTTTCGCTTAACAAACTCACTTTATTGTGACCCTAGATGTGAGAAGTCTTTGATGGTTTTATAAGGTAATTATTTTTGAACCTTTATGTAGGAATGCATTCTCATTTTTGTTACAATTTGATAGTCAAGGTTTTATTGGCCTAATCTTTTAATCAAATGACAATCTTTCATCAATTTTTAAACAAGTTCATAGTCTTCGAAGAAGTGAGGGTTGGCAAAAATCCTCTTTTCCTTCATAAGATTTTCATTTTGTAAGAAAGTTCGTAGATGTCACAAAATTTCATCCCTTCAAACTTCTTTCTAAGCTTGATGTCAAGACCATTTTAGGTAAGTTAAACAAATTCTTGCTCAAAAAGAGAAACATGAAATTTAAGCCTTGCTTTGTGGAATCTAGCCAAAAATGCTTCAAAAGACTCTAGGTTGCTGTGTGAGCCGAGACAAATTGATCATCCTTTATTTATACCATGCACTAACTTTATCGTGGCATTAAATGTAAGAAGTCCATAATGTTCTTCCAAAGCAATTATTTTTGAACTTTTATTCGTTTATGCTACACTCGTTTGATCAAGGTATTATTAGTGTAATTTTTTAATCAAATGGTGTTCCATTGACATATAAACAAGTTTTTACACTTAGAAGATACAAGGGTCACTAGAAATCCTTTTCTTGTTTTGAACAAAGCAAATGGCATGCTTGAACAGTTCTGCCATGAGCAGCTGAAAGAAAAAAGATTTTGGAGGAAATAGAAACTAAGGTAGAGAATTAAGCAAGCATGGTCACACCTATATGTAAACACTTTGTTTATGTAGAATTAATCAAGAAAGCATGCTTTTCTTCATATTTTCTTCCCTGCAATAGTCTCTGTTGCTACAAAGGAGAAAATATGGGCACTAGTCTCTTGTGCTGCAAAGAAGAAAATATGGAGAAGAGCATTGCTAATTTCTTGATTAATTTTGCATGTATAAGGTGTCTATGTTTTGGTTTATCCAAGGAATATTGCAAGCTACAAAATTAGAGTAAATCAAAATATTTTAAGTCGCAATATTAACTTAATTATATGTAATCAATCATAATTGATTGATTAATACAAACAATTGACCCGATAGTTTTAACCATATTTTAAAATTTTATATATTTTTTTGGGTATATTTGATGGAGACATGTATACGCGTTGTATCTTAACAGTAGTTAGTTGTTTAGAATTTAGATTATTAAATTTTTTTAAGAAAAAAATTTAATAATTAAAAAGTCAACAGATAAATGCTTTTTTATTAATGATATGTTAGTTTAAGTGTAAAGAATTCGATTTTTTTAAAAACAAAATCTTGATTTTAAGTTTTATAAATAAAGAAATAAGTGTTGGAAAAGGTTTTTCCTTATGAAATACGATGCAATATGATTACGAATTAACTGGATTCAATGTTGTTTCAAGATACCAAGAAGTTAGTAAAAAAAAAGTGAGGTATTTAATTTAGTAGTAATTTTTTAATAAATTTGGATTAGTTAAAAAGATTTAAGTTTGGAGTTTTGATTTCATTGTTAAAAATAAAATAAGTGTTGGAAGAGGTTTTTCCTTATGAAATACGATGCAATTCGATTACGAATTAACTGGATTCAATGTTGTTTCAAGATACCAAGAAATTAGTAAAAAAAAAAGTGAGGTATTTAATTTAGTAGTAATTTTTTAATAAATTTGGATTAGTTAAAAAGATTTAAGTTTGGAGTTTTGATTTTATTATTAAAAATTTAAATAATTTAATAATAATTTTTTTGAAATAAAAATAAAATATTTTAAATTTAAGTTATATAATACGTGGATGATGAGGATTAAAGAAAAGAGAAAAAGTCCGTCTCTTATGCAACCAAAAATTAAAAGTTTAAGTTCCACTAAACTAATATTACTATAAGGTGACAACTATAAATGATGGAAATAAATAATTTCCTCCTTCAATCTCCTCCCTTTACTAATTTATTTTGTGTCCAAATTGCGCCTAACTTTTGTACCCAACGCAATATCGAATATCGAATTCACTGCTCTAAACCATAGGCTTGTCCGATTGCATTTTTTGCAACCCAACTTCGGTAGTGCTGCTTCCACTTTCCTTGTACTTGTACCACATTGCGCACATTATGAAATACACCAAAGTTAAGGCTTCTATTCCAGCAAGCAAGTAGTAATAATAGTCCAACCTTCCCTTATTAAGATCCTCCGGCAGCCAATCTCCGGTCGCTGCCCCCCTAGTGGCCCTGTGAACCACCGAAATCAAGAAGCCACTCAGGTAACTTGACAGAGCTATTCCGACGAAGGTGAAAGCCCCAGCAATGCTCCTCATGTTCTCCGGAAACTGCTTGTAGTAAAATTCAATCTGGGCAACCATGGTAAATGCCTCAGAGATTCCGATTAATGTTAGCTGAGGAACTAACCACATCGCTGACAAAGAAGAAATTGCTCCTCTATTCGGGTCAATTCCAATTGGGTTTTGAAGAGCAGAGACTCTCCTCCTCTGCTCCACGACGGCGGAGATGACCATGGTGACGACACCCAGAACCATTCCGACTCCCATTTTCTGGAGAATAGTGATGCCACCTTCTTTGCCGGTGAGGTGATGGAGCCAGGGGACGATAATTCGATCATAGATGGGGATCCAGATGGTGAGGCCAATCATGGTGAAGATGGTGTACGATGCGGGTGGGATGGTGAAGGTGGTGGTGCCGAGGTGGCGGTTGGATTGGGTAGCTTGGAAGACAACATAGGTTTGCTGTTGGATTATGGAAAGATAGTAGATCATGGCGGCGACCCAGATTGGGACTATCCTGATCAAGCATTTAACTTCTTCCACTTTCTGAATGCTGCAGAGTTTCCATGGATTGGCGGCGGAACCATCAGGGTTGATTTGGTCCTCCGGTGTCTTGATTGCGGCTTTGTTTAGCCATCTGAGAAACAAATTAGCAAGAAATTCAATTATTTTGGTAAATAAAAAATTTATTTTTTCTTGAAGATATAGAAATTCAATTACAAGAACAAGGAAAAATTGCAAGAGTAGTGATAGAGCACGAAAATATGAATCTATGATATGAGATAACTTATTTTATTAAATAAATTAATATATATATAATATATAAATTTATAGTTGTAAATAAAAAAACACTTATTAAAAAATATAAATAATATAAAATTTATTTTTTAATATTTTAAATAATGTACCTCATGCTATTCATTGGTTTTCAATTTTGATAATAAAATTTGTCCCTTTATTACTATTCAAATTGCAAACGCTTGGAAGTATTTTTTTATCTCAATAGAAGTATTTTTAGTTTTATGCGTTGAAAATAAAAATTGATAATATTTAAAATAAAGTTTATTGCAACTAAGTTTCTAAATTTGGTAAATAAATTAGCATTTTTACTTCAAATTATTCTATATAATAATAATTTAACACTTTTACATATGTTTTACTTAAACCATAACTAAAAAAACTTCAACTATAAGTCAAAAGAGTTCCAAGGCTAGCAGGAGGAAAACATTAAGAGAAAAAAATAGAATTGAAAAAAATCCAATTACACGTTTTCATTTTTTTCCTTAATGTTTAAATAAAATTATTTTTAAGAGTATTTTTGGCTTGAAAAATATAATAAATGAAAGATGAATTTTTCATATAATTAAATTAAAGTTTTGATATTTTATATTATAATTAAATGAGAAATTCATCTCTTTTTTTTACTGTAAAAAATATACTTAATAAATTTATATCTGTTTGAAAATCAATCAAAAAATCAACATGATAATTATATATTGTGCCCTACCTTATTTCTCACGCGTAACCCCTTTATCCCCACTAGAGAGTGTAAAAATTCATCTCTTCCTTTTTCTTTTACTTTTTCCAAACTAAATAAATTTTGAAAGTACATCAAGTATTAACAACACAAAATTTAAAATTTAAAAATCTTAAAAGTGGGTATACTAAGACGTGAAGAAAGAATTTGGTAAAATTCATATTCTAAGTATTTTCTTTTCTTTAGAAACACAACGAGAGTTATTCCATATTTTTGTTTGACTGTCCACCTGATGTGGATTTATTTTGTATGGCTGATCATGTAGGAATTTGCTATCCCTGACAGTAATGTTTTATTTTTAATTTTATTTAAAAAAAAAAAACCAAAATATCCCAAATTAGAGTACGTTGCTTCAAATTTGACCCAATCAAATGGATGGACATTAAATTAACAAGAAAGGAAGACTTTTCAATGTTGTGTAACACACGGAAAGGATTAGATCAATAACTTTCGGGAGGATCGCTGATCTCGGGAGGATCAGTAATATGCAGACAGAGTGTCGAAATCATTGTGGAAAATCCTGAATTGTTAAAACAAACAATTTGAAAAAAACCGATATATATTAGTGGGACACGCATACATTGTTATTATTAAGCTTTGTTTGGTTCACATATAGAAATTACAAATGTAAGAAAATTTTAATTAAAGAAATTAGGAAAATAAAAATATAGTCCTAATAAAATTAATTTTTTTGTAATCAAGCATTTTAGATTTTATTGTTAAAGAAATAATTGATAATGGGATAGTTAACATTTAATAATTAGTATAATTGGTATATATAACTCAAATTATCTACAATTCAGACCATTAAATTTGTTAAATTAAAGAAAATAATTATTAACTGTTTTTAATAAGGAAAAGTACTGTATATAGTTCGAACAATAGTAAATTTCACAATCATGATCATAGGATAGAAGTAGATTTTTTAGAATTAAAAGTTTTATTTTTATTCAATGATTATATTTTATAATATAATACAATACGAATAATAAAATATGAAACTTTTTAATAATTAACTTAAATAAGATTTTTTTAAATAAATTATTTTACTTAAAAGTCAGAATATAATTTGTCATACTCATCAATTAATAAAGTCCACAGTTTAAAAGTTTTCTGTTTTAAAATTTTCTTTCGTTTTCATTCCCTGCTCTTTATTGTGAACCAAACGTAACAGTGAGAAGCTAGAATTAATATTCGATTATTATGAATACCTTTCTCCACCAAAAGAGACCTTGCTTACACTATCATGTGGAGCCCTCACAAATCAACACCCAAATCAATTATTGGTTATATAATTCTTTTCATTTCTATAGTGATTTTTTCCACCGGTTAATCATTTTCCTTATTGTATGCAAAATAAATGTGTATGTGTACTTTCTCTTCGTATTAAAGGTATCCTGTATTAAGTGTTGATATTCTTTTTTTTTTTTATCTTAAATTATATTATTGAAAGTAATCCTCTTTAATTTCTTAAATTATCTTATTAGTATATTATACGATTCAAACTTAAAATTTTTTATTTTTAACAGAAGAAAAGATTACCAATAAGCAATTTATA